TGTCCCTTTCCAGGCAAACCATCCTAGTTGCCTTTCAAGACAATCCTGTTTGGAAGACTTGGCAGAGTGGATTTTTGTGACTTAAACTTTTGTACTATTAGCCAAATCTTTACTGTTTATTAGATTTTAGCCCTCTGAATAAAGATTAACAATGGAAAGGAACACCAGCTCCTACAGCATGACTTCAGCCAGAATGGCATTTTGTTAGGTAGCAGTTAGTGCTTGTGTAGAGGTGACACAATCAGATCAACAATCAGAAAGAATAGTTACTCCCATCTTCCTTTAGTTTCAAAAGTTACCTCCTTATATTCAGATTCAAGTAACGTATTAGACCCCTATCCAGTTCCAAATACCATTTAAGATGCTCTTATATACATTTATTTTCTTTTTCAGTGTTAGATATTGAATCTAGGGAAACATTTCTTCAATAAAATGAATCATTATCCATTATCTACCATGTGTAGAGAACAATATTATAAATTACAGATTCTATAGACTAATCCTAAATATTTAAAAGAATCTGGAAATGGTTACACACTAAAGTTTGAAAATGTCTGGGCTACATAGCTTGCCTGCATATCTGCACATGGATGAGGACTAGGTTTAATTACTGGAAACTGTGACTGAAAAACAGTGTGCCCATACTTTATCAGGCATCAACAGTACACTGTATTGTCATAATAAGTAATATTTTGATCCATTTGTCCAAAGTTATATTATCAAAAATACAGTCAGATACTATCGTGCAGTTTCCTAGTAAATTCTATCATGGCAGCATTCAATTTTTCATACAAAGAAGGTTTTGTCTTTCTAGACTATAGCCCCCTGATCTTTTCATTTCCTCCACAAAACAATTAATTGATCTGCTCAGGTTCCTCTGAGTATATTAGGGATTACCCAAATGCATATATTGTGAAAAACAAATATTTATTAATCACCTACTATGGGGCAGTCAATATGCTAGGTGTTGGAACCCAGGCATTAAAAATGCAACCTTCCCCTAGATTCCTGCCCCAACTTTGAATTCAATGTTGCAGAAAGTATTTCAGAAAATAATTTTCTCAATATTTCATTTTGAAAATTTTTAATCCTTCAAATGACTGAAAATAATACAGCGAAGAACTAATTACTTGTACCTAGATTAGCCAATTGCTAGCAGAAAGCCAATTTTAAGTATTTTCTGTTTCTGTTATGAAATAAACTTTAAAAGTCACTACTAGAATTTAGAATAAATAAATTAGAGTGGAAAGGAATGGGAAACACTAGAATACATCTGAAGACAGAAAGAAATAAAACATTTCTGCATGTGCCTCATGTAGCAAGGTAAGAACTGCTCTATAAAAACCCTTCTCTCAAATTGTGTGCTATAACTTATAATGCACGTTTTACTATAGCTTCCATTTTAAAACTTTGAATCCACCTTAGACTAATTATTTTAATGTTACTGATGAAGATAAATTTAAGAGGAGAAATATTGGAGACAGGGAATCTGACTAAAAACTATAATAATAGTCCAGGAGAGAATGAGGATTTAACTAAGGAAATGATGATGATGATGATGATGATGAAGAAATTGATTCTGGACTCTACTGTCAGGGTGAAGATCATTAGATCCTTTGATATGAAAGGGAAGGCACAGGGGAAAAATTGTGGTGATCTCAGATTTTTTGCTTAGATAACAGTGATTGGTGGCCATCAGCTGAAAGAGTAAACACATTGAGAAGCAGATTTAGAAAGAAAAAAATAAGTTCAGTTTTGCTTTGCGTGGCTTTAACATACTTATCAGATATCTAAACAGAAAATACAGGTTGAATAAAAGACTGTTGGTACAAATATATTTATACAATTATACTGGAAGAATATTTTTGGGCATAGATTAGGAAGTCAGATGTAGATTATATTATTCAGTACAAGTGAAGACTAAGAAAGTAACAGATCATGTATAGTAAGCTGAGGAAAAAGACGGACTATGCAAGGTATAAGGTTGCTATTAGAAGAAAAGAAACAGGAAAAAGTGGTTTTAAGAAGCCAAGGAAGAAAAATTGGTTTCTAGGATGAGAATAGTGAAAACCAGTATACAATAACATACTAAATGCAATAAACTAAGTTTCTGATGGAAGTGGTTCCCATTTAAGTCAGTGAGAAAAGTTTAAACATTGTTATAGGTGAAGAAATTTTAATGTTTCTCTGGGTTTGTGTTGGTTTATCCAAACTTCTGCTACAGTGACATATAAAGCACTAGTTGAGAGTATGAGTTTTGGAACCAAATTGCTGGTGTTAGGTATAATCTTGGTCAGAATACTAGTTATAATACCTTAAATCAATTACCAATATTTTCTACTTCTCATCCTCTTTATCTGTACAGTGGAATGATTTTACAATCACATTTTGTTCTTAGAGTATTGTTTTGTGGAAAAAATATATACATATATATGTTTCAAATATATGAGATTTGTGTATTACAAAATTTGTCAAGAAAACCACAGATGATATATTTGCTAATCACTCAACCAAAATTTTCATGAAACTGCAAATGTCAGTTATTCCTCAATTTCAACATATTGTGAGTTGATGATTCAACTAATAACTGATCCTGGGGGAGCGGCCTTCCAGCCACAGACCTCTCATCCACTGCACTTCTGACACTATAAAACAACTGCATATTCCAGTATCAGTTATGCCACTTCTCATAAGAGAGAGAAAGAACAGAGTGGAAACTCTGAGGTAAGAAAGGTTTTAAATACTGATGTTAAATAGATTATATATCTCTTTGTATATATTTCTATCGTCATGTATGTATACACATTGAACTGTCAAAATTATTAAGGCTATATGTAAGAGTTGCTTTAATTTGTAAACAGTAATTAGATACTCCTTTTTGTCTACAAAATATTTTCTTAAAATCATTCTTCTGCTAGGGTATGTGCATATTTCAGAGGGACCATGAATGAGTTGTCATAGAGGTAAGGTATTGTTGGAGACCCAGCTTAAGGCTCACAAACCTCAAATTCACCACTCTAAATTTTATGGACCTAAATTCGGCAAAGAGAGGGACCATGTACTTCCAGGGATTCTCTAAGTGTGCACAATTGCAAACTTATTTGTAACTTCTTATTTACCTTTAAAATTTATCTAGTATTTGAATTCTGTTTTATATCCTGTCAATTTTAACAAAGAATTACTTAAATATTTCCTATTAACCCATGAATAAAATTGATGCTCCAGGAAGATGTATCTAATGTATCCAGAGCAGCATTTATTCTCTAGCACATACCAATTTACGGCTTTGAGAAGTAGATAACTACAAGGAGGTAGTTGATATTCATGCTATGTCTTCACTGCAGGACATGATCCAGAGGGTCTTTTATGTAGTTTATTTACCTAATTAATGTGGTTTTGAATAATCCTTGAAATCAGTTGAAAATCATTCTATTGTATAAGACCCTCTTGAATTCTATTATTTTCAAAACAATTTCCTCTCTCCCTTCTATATGCTCTCAATATTTTGTAATTTCTTTACACAACACACTTTGCATTTCATGATATTAATATCCATTCCTGCCTTTCCTAATTAGCCTTCATATGAAAGAAATCATGCTTTATCATTATATCCGAGACAGTGCAGACTGGAACTCACTGCCCAGAGAAAGCAGGCTGTGTGCCTATACATGTGCGTCTGAGAGGAGTGTATATGTGTGTACACTTTACTGTTAATTTTCTGTACTGTTAAAGTGCCTATAGAACACTAAATTTGACGAGAATTTTAAATTCCTGTCTTGGCAAATCATTACATTATCATTAAATTTTTGTATTTTAATTTGAATTGTGTTTGCTATAATAAAAATTGAAGTAAAAACTTTGCAGCATTTTTTCTTTTGCATTGTATTCTTTACTCACATAAATATACAAGAAAACTCAAGAAATGATGAAATTTCCCTCAGTCTCTGTTAATCAAGGCAAAGGCATCCCAAAATGATGTTATTTACATGAGAAATGCACATTTTTTTCAAAATCTAAATTTTTAAAATAAATATTCTTCAGAAAAACTATGTAATGTATTGACCTATAATAATGTACTTAATAAATGCAATAAAGCAGGTAATATTTCAGCTGCTACATACAACAAAACCTAGAATAATGTCAACACTTTATTAGTTATCAATAAATGTTTTATAAATAAATAGCTAATATCAAGAAAATTCACTAACCTCCTTTCCAACCTGCGTTTCCCAAATTCCCTATATGTTCTCTAATTATCTGTTGCATACACACCATGACAAAGAAGTAATGATTATGATAAAATCTCACAGGAAAAATTTTCATGAATGTTCTAAACCAAGTAATGTACAAATGCTTATCATATTAGTGACATATTTTTTTTTAAAGTTTTTGTTGTACTGTCTAATTTATTATATAATATGATCATTGATTGAATTGTATTTAACTTAGTTGTCTCAAATACTTATTATCAATATGATACATTATAATAATGTATTTAATAAAAAAAAGAACTTAAAATGAAAATGAAAATATAGAAAAATGTTTTTTCCCAAATGCTTAAAATAGTTCCACCTAAACAGCATAAATCTGGGGGTAAGTTGCCAGAATTGATGCAAACACTTCTGTCATATAAATTAATTCCATAGGTATAATGCTGTTTAAATTTTCTAAAATAAGTAACTACATATCCCCACAATAGCATTCTTTGCATAAGCTGATGAATTATTTCATTTGAGAAAATTTTATTAACAATTGAAAGAAGTGTTACTGTTAAATAATATGTGAATGTATTTTTTTAAAGAATTGATGCAATATAGTAAAACTGCAAATCACTTTTGATTTTACCTAAAGAATCATGTTATCTAGTCACAAATAGATTGGTGCTCTAACATTACAAACAACTACACAAAGTCAGAGAGCTGTTAGTTCCATCATCTGCACTACAACTGTACCTTCTGAATTTATGTTAACATCTAGTCTTTCTTCTGACTTCTAGGGTATTCCCAAATAAGATGAAAACTCTCCTTCTGATCACTGCCATCTTGGCAGTAACTGTTGGTTTCCCGGTAAGGATTCACTTCTGCATTCTAAAATATTTTGTGCTAATACACAAAGCTCAGTGCTTCCTCTCTACTTTATAAAGAAACCTGAACCCGCCACTTTAGATTATGTTCCAGAAAATATTATCAACCATACACTATTCAGTGCATAATTCACTTCCATATAACCCTGATGCTGTGATGAATTTCAGCTGTTTCAAAATACGTATTACATTTTTCAGGAAAATTATTTTTATAATATTTTCTGGACAATAAAACCCTAGACTTTAAAATTAGATACAATGATATATAAGGAGGAAATATATATATATATATATATATATATAGTCTTAATGTGTTTTCATCAACATGAGTTGAAATAATTTCACTGTTTGAACTTTAGGTCTCTGAAGACCAGGATAGAGAAAAACGAAGCGTAAGTTACTTTCTTCTTTTTTACATGCAAGCATTCTGTGTAAAATATTCATGACTGTGGTTAAAAGTATTCACTTATCCAAGTGTCCCAAACTTTACGAATGTACTTGAAGACTTTTGACCATTATCACTAACCAGGGAGGGCTAACTCCACTTCTATGCAGGGAAGCATCGCACCATCTCACATAGCATTGACACTCAGGTTCAAATGTGAATCACTCTGTGATGAGTTGGGTTATGATATTTTCACTAGAATCATCTAGCTTAGTAAAGGCCCGTAAATACCTATGATTTAACTCTGCTTTATCCCTACAATGTCCATTTCAGAGAAGGCAAAAAATAATTAAAACTCAAGAATTGAAAGGTGTAGGTATGCTAATCAGCTTCCCATAAGACACCTGACATAAACTGATATGAAAAAAGAAAAGGGGGCTTGGGATTTAGCTCAGTGGTTCCACCGCCTGCCTCGCAAGTTCAAGGACCCGAGTTCAATCCCCGGTACCAAAAAAGAAAAAAGAAAAAAGAAAAGGTTTGTCTTGAGTAACAATTTTGGCAGTTCCAGCCCATGACCAACAGGCCCACTGCCCCAGGTCTGAGGGGCACAATACCTTGTGATGGGAGCACTTGCCGGAGGCAGCCTGGGCACCTTACAATGGTCAGTGCCACAAAGAGAAAACAAGCCTCCCACAACCCTCTTTGGGCCCCACCTCCCATAACAAAGCTCCCCCCCAGGCCCCACCTTCCAACGCTTCTACCACCTTCCCAGAGCACTCTGTGAGGACCAGTCCTTTAATGCATGGTCATTGGAGGCCATTCCAGATCAGAACTGTAGCTCTGATCCAGCTTTGATGGTTCTACTAGTGGCAAATTCAGTAAAGAACAGTCTTGGTCTTAACAGATAACCAAAAATGTTTAAGAATAAAATAAAATTTTCAGAGGAAAAGTCTAGTTTTAAAATTTGTTTGTATTTTGTTGAAAATGGTTTAGAGGCCAAAACTATAAACAGAATGCTAAGAATATGGAAATTGATAAGGACATCCACAGACAAGGAAGAAGAAAGGGGGAAAAAAGAAGTGAGACCCAAGAAGAGTGACTGAATTCATGACATAGCTTGGGTAAACACTGGTATAAAGATAAAGAGAGAAATATGAAAGCACTTCAACACCCCTATTTTGAGCTTTTTTATTGTAGAAGAGATTACTGTATCTGAAAAATATGCCTTGCATAGAAAGATTCAGAAATAGAGTAATCTTTTTTTTTCTTAAATTCTTTTATTGGTACATTTTAGGTATACAACACAATTACATTTCTCATTGGGAACTTGTACCTTTACATGATGCATCTTGGTTCTTATTTTTTCCCCATTCCTAGCCCTCCCTTCACCCCCTCCACCCTTCCCTATTTACAAAGACTTTATTTCCATTTTTTCAATTTCTCATCATTTTTCCTTTTCCTTCTTTCCTTTCCCCTGCCCCTCCCACTACCCCTACCCCTTTGGACTTTTTCTTCCTATTTTGCATTATCAATTATTCATTCTAATCACTGGTACATTTTAGGTATACAATATAATGACATTCATCATTGGAAATTAGCACCTTTACATAATCTCTCTTGGTTCCCATCTTTCACCCTTGCCCAGCCCTCCCTTCAACCCCTCCATTCCTCCCTATTTACAAAGATTTTGTTCCTATTTTTCCATTTTCTCATATTAATTCCCTTCTATCCTTTCCTCTACCCCTCCCACCTCCTTCCCCTTTGCCCCTTTTCTTCCTATTTCACATTACCTATCATATATTTTGGTCCTTATTTACACTTTCAGTTTCTCACACCAGAGAAACTATTTGGTATTTATACATGTGTGTCTTATTTATTTCACTTAAGAGAGGAATAGAGTAATCTTTGATTTTCTAAAATTAATCAAATCCCTGTTCATAGTACATGTAGAAACAGTAAATGACTTAGACGGTCCAGACAGATCTCTTGCAAATTGGAAGGGGTCCAGGAACTCAGGAAGGGGGTAAGAAGAACTGAGATATGCCACGCACAGGAACCTAATAACCACAGTGAATGTAAAATCTGTCATAAACATGAGCTAAAAACAATAGTAACCACAAGGACACAGATGGGGAAAGGGGATTTACAGGCAGAGGGTAGAGGTGGGTGACAAAGGGAAGAGGATTTTAAAAAGTGTTACGTACATGTACCCATTTCCCAGGATTAATGTAAACTTTATTTTATGCAAATGTATACTATTAAATTTTTAAATGATAACCTATATGTTAAAGATGTATTTCATTTCTCTTTCTAAAGAGTAAGATGAGCCTTTTTCTTTCTCTCAATAGATCAGTGACAGTGATGAAAATACTCCACAGATTTTTTTGCCCCCTTTTCAAAACCCATTAGGCCCATATCCACTGATCATAAATCAGGCATATCCAGGGTATAGGTTTTACTTATTTCCTTTCCCAGTATCTCAGCTGGCAACTGCGACTCCTCCACCTAATGAAAAGTGAACAAGGGAGAAAAGTCACAGTGTGATTTAAGAAGAAATTAAGTGGTAAGTGTGCATAATACAACCATTTTTGTGTTATTGTGTTTGTGTTGTTACTCATGGTTTATGGATTGAAATACATCATTCCATACAAAATAGGTTACAGTATTCTCACTCAGACACACTTTCCACTGGTAGAAACTGTTGGCTTTTCCACTCGGAGATACATATATGTGTCCCTCCATGGCCCAAACATGCTAGTTTAAATCTTTCATCTGCTGTAATGTAATGGGAAAAAGACCTCTATTATCAAAACATTTTATAAAATATTCAAACATTTTATACTATTATCAACAATTGTGCATTTTAGACCTAACCACTGTGCTAAGAAAGGTAAAATTTTAATCAAGTTAGACATCATAGTTGATGAACTTGTGGACCTAGAATCTAAGGTAGACTTCATGGTAGTCCTTAGAAAATCATGTAATTTTTCTAGTACTAAACCCACAAACTTATCTTCTTAATGTGACAGTGGAAGAAATCCCTAAAAGCTGCCTGCTCCACCTGTAACAGAAGCCCTGTCTTCTCAACGTAGCAAAATCAAAGTGGACAGTCTGTGAATTAGCAGTGAATTGAGGGAGAGTAAACTCTACTGAACATTACATTAGGACCCATATGACTGTCTTAGGGAGAAAAACTATCAGCTAATACCTGCTCCTAAAGGCTCTGTCCTGCATCCATGCAGTCTTCCTGAGCAGAAAGTTCCCCAGTACTTAAATTAAACATACTTTTATGCCAATGTTTATAATTAAAACACAAAAATTTACATGTTCCCTAGAAAAAGACCCACTGAGATTAATAACCAATGTTTTCATTTATTTCAGATTGCTGTAAAATTGAATGTCAGCTACTTCCTTGAAGAATCAATAATCCTGTTATAAAAGAAAAAATAAACTTAATTGAAGCATCAAATAATGTTCTCTAGTCGATACCTGTAGTGGTCCTTTTTAGTAAATATAAAAATCCCCTAGGATTCCAAATTTCTAGGAATCCTTCACCAAAAAGAATGAAATACAACAGATTTTATTATTCATTTCATCTCTAAACATTTCAGATAAAGCATGGAGAGTGGAGGAGACAAAAATCAACCAACATAAAAATATCTCGAATGAAGGTCTATTCGGTAGCTTATGTTGTGTAGTTCTATTTATTGTATTGTCATGAGCCAGAGGTTGATTTAACAAAAAATATTTGAGCAATTACATCTGTGCCTATGCACTGTAGGATATTAGTTTGATGTGTTGGCAAAAGATACTGTGAACAATAGAGAACTACCTCTAACTTTAAGAAACTGATAATGAGTAAGAATTTTAGAAAATCATTTATATCATACTGGTAAGTTACAAAGTACTTTCCAAATCATTGTGTCACCAAATCTTCACATAAACTGTGTAGTTTCACTTTATCCATGTGGAAACAGGATCATGAAAGTCCTATGGACCTACATTGTCATGGACCTAGCCCAGGGCAGAAAAGGAAAAACTAGATTTACCCTACTAGTTAGGTCCATGTCTTTTCCCTTTATTTCAGGAGGAAAAATCAAATATCTACTAACAAGGACAACCATCACCAGTCTCCTCCTTGTTAGACTGGCTGCTACATTGCCACCTGATTTATCTTTTCAAATCATAATTTGAACTTTATTCTGATAAGTTTGATTGCTTTAGCAAACTTCTCATTGCTTCCAACCCAAAATCTATTCAAGGCCTTTCACATGTAACTAGAGGCTTCTTTCCCAATCCCCTCCACCACCCCAGCCTGTGTTCTACTCCAGCTCAGACTCTCCAGGATGTCACTCCCTGAGGCACCCTCCTCCAGCACAGCTGCTTGGGGGTTTGCCCGAGGAAGTGTTCACTCCTCCTCTCACTGTTAAGAGTCAATGTCTCTTTTAAGGTTCAAGTCACATTTATGACTTTCACTTAAAAAACAAACTCCTCTTTCTGAAATAGAATGAATTAACCACCACTTTGACCCTCTACCCCAGTACCTTATTTGTAGTGTTCATGAATCTTATAATACTTTACTTTCTAGTAAAACAGTTCACTTACATTTCTGTGTCCTGTGTAAGCTCCCAGAACACCACACCGAGTAACTATTCTCCAGTACTTAGCAAAACTGAAGGTATTCAGTGAATGTTAAAAGGAATATATTCATAAAACTTTCAGATTCCTAATTTTCAAACAGAAAACCTTTTTCATATGTCTGACATATATCAAGCTCCTTCTTGTAAGAAAGGAACCTTAAAATCAATATTTAAATGTTAACAGTTCTACTCAATTACATTAGCATAGCCACTTGAATAATTTCTTTGCTACTCACACAATACTACAGAATTCACAGGACCAATAAAATACCAAGGCATGAATAGAATTCCATTTCACAAAACAAGTACAAGCATCATAAAAACATATACGTATTTCTTTAAAAATTTATTTGTCGGCTATTAGGAAACCAAGTTCAGAAGTTCTTAGTTCATCAAGTATTTATTCTCTTTTACAATAAGTCAATACACATGACAAAGTTTTATGAACTTTGTAGAGAAACAATTTGTCCTAATCATCAGCTCTCACAAATCCCATGCTGAGTACTTGAAGCAAAAAGTCCTGAATAAGAAAATGATAGCAAGTGGTGATGAAAATAAACTGTCCTGCAGTATTTGATGTCATTCAAAAAGATTCTGCTTGCCCAATAACCCTTCATTGTCTTACAGTGGGTGCCTTTGTCTCCACAGTTAGTTATCAGGAAATTAGCATATTACTCTTTTAACAATTTATGTTTCTCCAGCATAAGATCAAATTATTCACAGGTGGGACTCATAGTGTCAGTCATGGAAATTCTGCTACTGTGCCTACATAATCTAGCTGAAAATCATGGCCAACCTCATGAGCCACTTGGCATGTTCCAAGCAGGGAAACTACTGTGTCCCTTGGTCATTTGTAAGGATTACAGGTTCCTAAATATCTGAATGATGATTCCTTCCTATCAAAGTCAGTGAGCCCAATTAAAACAATGATAGAGACATCAAGAAGACCAAACAGTCTTAGCATAATGTGGTGAATTAATTTCATAAGAACTGTTTGCTGACCTGATAGCTGACAGTTTGGAGGCCACTGTATGGGTGGACAAAGGGAGGAATGGAGAACAAGACATAGGGCACAGAGACCAGGCCATGCAGGCTTAAGCACGTCAGAGACTAAGGCTGCTCAGAGTTGGGGAGGAGGGGCTGTGTATTTACTGTCTTCCTGCCAGATTTTTTTTTAAGTCTTTGATATATGTCCTTAACTCTCTGATGAAAACTTTTATTTTATCCACCTCCCATTTATGTTATTTTAACTTCCAAGCTGGGGGGGGGGCGGTTCCTGACAGTTACTTTTGACTACCATATTTATAAAGCAAACATACTAAAATTAATCGGCTATTCCTCCAGCAAATCCAGGCAACATCTTTCATGCTCTGGAAGTCTTGGATGGTTGTATTGGTAACATAGTTTCCCAGTAGACCTGTTCATCAAACCTCCCTTTTCTTCTGTAATCTAATGTTGACATATGTGCATAGGACCCACCGAGGTACTGTTTCACAAAGTGTGTTCTTGAAGCATATTTCAATAACAATAATAATAATAATAATAAATACATATCCACAAAGTATTTCACTTGGTAATTTACAGGACACGGTATACAGCACATGGTAACATACTGGAAAATGCCAATTTAAATTTTACCTAAGTTTTCCAAGCTATATGACCATTGTACAATTACCATCTAAAACCATGGATAAAACTAGTGTCTCCATGAATGGTGCTATTTTAAAATGCAATCAGCTATACTCAGTAGGTAGCAAATTCATGTAGACTTTATATTCCAATAATTGAAAGATGATTCATGGGAAAGAAAACAAAGTTACACAATTTGTTAATTCCCTGAGAGAAGTATCCACAATTCTCCCTGTAATCTCCCAGATTTTATTTATTTGTTTAAAAACTGACTATAGTAATCTTGCAATATCTACTGGAGTTGGTTACAAGATAGTCCCATCCTAACCCACACCCCAGAAATACGAAACTCCACAAATGCTCAAATTCCTTATATAAAATGGCATCATATTTGTACATAACCTGTTCACATTCTCCCATACATGTTAAAGAATCTCTACATTACTTGTAATCTCAAATATGCAGCACAGTATAAATGCTACCTACACAGCTATTATGTTGTTTAGAGAATAATGTCAAAGGGAAAGAAGCCTGTACATGTTCATTACAAATGCAGCCATAGCAGGCCTCAGTACACAGGATGTGATGAAGATGAGGAGAACACAGATGAAACAGCAGGGCTGTAGGGAAGGGGGTCTCTGGAACAGCGGCTGAGGGCCACACCTCGCCCTCATGCATGTCGGTTCAGCACAGTACTCCACATGAGGCAGAATCAAGGATCCTTCCTGAAACTTTCTGAAGTCTTTTATTTTCTAGGTATATTTGATTTGCAATTGGTTGAGTCCATCAATGCCAAACTCTGTGTCAACCATTCAGCTAAATTCTGAGGGTTTGGACAAAAAGATTCATTTTTCACCCTTAATGGTTTTATAGTCTACTGGGGGGAATTAAACATGGATGAAATTTCAGTATGTGTAATAAGTGTTCCAATAAATGATTCACAGAGTAGTTTTTTAAAATTTACATAGCCAATGGAAAACTAGCTTTGCCTGATCAACTTAGAAAAGGTCCTACAAGTGAGCATGGGCTGAACCTTCACAGATAAAAAAAGGTTATTGACAGACAAGCACAAATTAAATGATCAATAGATATAGGTATGTACAATCTATATTCAATGGAGTTTTTTGCTTTTGTAATATGATTAAACCCAGAGTCTCAGGCATGATAAGCAAGCTCTTTACCTACCTCCCAAGTGACATTTTAATGACATTTGGCTTCATTGGGGAAAGCCAAAAAAGAGCAAAAGATGGGAATAAAATACTTTATAACATATTTGTAATGAATATATATAGAACTT